CCCATCAAAAAAAGAATAAAAAAAAAATGTCACCCATGGGAGTTGAAGGCATGAAGGTTCACGAGTTTGCACGTGGGCTATGGGAGCACGAACACACCTCCCTCACACTCGGCTGCAAACGGCTCCGGCCGCTTGCGCCGAAAATGAACTCTGGTTTCGACCTGAAGAGCTTCATTCGGCCGGAGAGCGGGCCCACAAAGCTCGGGTCCCCGGAATATCAGAAGAAGGAATCTGTTCAGGTACACAAATTAAGAAATACATCTTTACATCACATTTTTCCTGCATATATTTTCGGTTGAGAAAGTTGTTTTCTAGCTTCACATGTTATGGCACATTGGCCTGCATGAGAGGGACGCACCACTTGCACACGTGTCACGCAACGCTCACAGATGCAACACATACATATATACATACATACATACATATGCATGGGTAGTTCGTTTGTTGTTTGATTAATTAATTATTCTTGAAATAAGTGTTTTTTTTTATTTATGTTTAGAATAATTATCAGAAACGAAAATGGTAAGGAAAATTTGGTGAAGCGCAGCAGCTTTTGAGCTGTGGAATTAATTAGTACCGTTATTAAAACTTTGATTTCATCTTACGGGGAGATGCTACGGTCCAATTACAGAACCATTCCATCGAGATTTGTAACATAATGATTTAACAGTTACAAATTCCAACAAAATAGTTCCGTAACGGGACCGTAGCATTTCTCTCTTACGTTTCTACTTACTGTTTGAGCATCATTAATCTCCTTGAAATCAATTAAATCACTGATTTCTCGGAGTATCCTTCTCGTAGTTAACTATTTGACGGTCAAGATTATTTCTCGTCCTAAAATTCATCACCCCTCCGAAGATTAAAAATTCCCAGCATAATCAACAAGAATCTGTAACTTTACCTAGTATTTCAAACTGGGAGGCCACTTTTTTGAAAAAAAAAAAAACAAGTAATAAAATAATTGGGCCGCAAGAGTTTGGCATTTTCGGAAATAATAAAAATAAAAAATTAAAAAAATAATCAGTTTGAATATTGAGCAGTAGTAGACTAGTAGTCGAGTGGATGTGTATTAATTAATAATAATTAATTTAATGTTGATTATATATAATTACAGGTGGAGGCACAGGCAGGTGGGACCCGGTGGAACCCGACACAGGAACAGATTGGAATACTGGAGATGCTGTACAGAAGCGGGATGCGAACCCCGAACGCCCACCAAATCGAGCAGATCACTGCACAGCTCGCAAAGTACGGGAAGATCGAGGGCAAAAACGTCTTTTACTGGTTCCAGAACCACAAAGCCCGCGAGCGCCAGAAGCAAAAGCGCAACAGCCTCGCCGGCCTCGCTCACTCCCCGAAAACCCCATTTTCTCCCCGGCCCACCACCACTCTCTTACTCTCCCCGGTAAGTACACACGCCTAATTAATTTCATTAATTATTGTAAAAATCTTCTCAAAATATAATTAATTAATTAATATTGATTAATTAATTTAACCACAGGCAAGTGGGGTGGATGAAGAATTGTCTGATGGTACGGCATACAAAAGGAAGTGCAAATCTTGGGGGTTTGACCAATGCTCAGAAGAAGTCAACAAAAAATGTACACTACAAGACCATCAAATTAATACTATTGAAGAGGAAGTGGAAAATCGGACCTTGAAGCTTTTCCCTTTGCATCCTGAAGGGAGATCATTATGTTTTAGGAGGATTAATTAATTAATTTTTAATGTTAATTTTGTTAACTTAATGATGCTTTGGGTTCGTCTTGTAATATTAATTATATCTGCAGCTTGCCGGCCAGTTCCATTATATTTTTCTTTTAATTTGCTTTATCTATGTAGGAAGGGATGAGAGACGAGTTGTATGAGTGAGTGAGCTCGGCCCGGCCCGTACGTGTTTAATTTATCTATCCTGATTAGTTAATTATCTGTCTCCAATAACTCTGGGAGATGCTGCATTCTGTGACGGAACTATTCTGTCGGGGTTTGTAACTGTTTTAGATCAACTATCCCGAACAGTTACATGATGATTTAACAATTACGAACCCGACAGAATGATGATCCACCAACTTTTTTTTCTTTTTATTTAATATTCGCTTAATTTGTGACTAATTCAACTGAAAGGGTCTGAAATCAACGTGATTTATCGGGTTTAAGTTGGAAATTAGAGTGTGGCTTTTGACAGCCAAAAGTTGAGCAAACCAACCGTGATTGGATACGGATATATATTTATATTTTTTTTTTATTTTATTTACATACATAAGAGTCTTACAGCTGAATAATGTAGTTGCTAGGTACAAATTTTCGTTCGGTCGAAAATTTAGAAATCCTTAAAATTGGAAAAAGTAAATGGAGATCGTCAAATATAAAATATTCGGAATCGTACAAAAAAATTGAAACAATTTGGTTGGAAAATCGTTATATTTCAGTACGATTTATTAGTCCGGAAATTCGGCGCCATTGGTAAACATGGTTCAGATTAGTACGATTTGGATCGTATATAAGGAGATTTTTAATGTTTAAAGTTGTAGTTCGGTTTTTAATTTCAGTATGTGAGACGATTCGATTCGATTTTTTGTACAGATATTTGTAAAAATGTGTCAAACTATACGGATTATTTTTTTCGGTTTGGTTTTAAAAGTGAAACAATGACTATTGATTATTTTTTGATTCAGGGTGATTCTTGTTCAATTTTCATGCACATTTCGTCGATCTTCAAATCTCATGCTCAACGCTATAATTTGATCGATGTAATTACATTTTTTTTTCCAAGAATAATTTGATCATTTTTCTCAAGAATCTAACATTCAATATGCTCATGTGTTTACTCATGATATCCAATCACTTTCAAATATAGTTCCAAATTTTCTTCTATTAATCCTTATTGTCTAACATAAGAAAAAGAAGCTTTTTATATTATTAAAAATAAAATGATAACTTTTCATCGCCATAACTTGAGGTGGAAAGTTGTTGAAGGTGAAAATGATTCAACGTTAGAAGTTCATGCACTTAATTATGTTTTTTAATATATTATATATATATATACTTGACCAATGATGGTAGTGAGTGTGGTTGTGCGCGTGTGTGCGATGAATTTTGGTTGATTATTAGGAATACATACATACATATTGCAGAATGAAAGAGAGAATTTTCTGGATATTGGTCGGAGGGGTCAAAAAGTAATTTGATGCGACATGACATTTTGGTGGGAAATAATTTTAAATAAAATTAATCATTAACATGTTGTATATTTTGTACTAGTAAGAATCCCGAGCGATGCACGCGTGTAAGAAATATTTATTGATATTTATAAATTAAAATTTCTCATTAAATAATAGATAAGTATATTTGATAATATTTTTCATATTCGCATTAACTTATGGTGAATATTAGAATAATTTGTCATATAAAATAAAGATCAAATTTTCTATATTTTGGTTGTATTGATACGTTTTCATATCAAATTATTTTTCAGTCATGCTCGATCTGGGCAATTGATGGAGTTTTTACGGCATTTTCACCTTCGGACTGGCTGTTATCGGGGACCCGATAGCAGTAGAACATGCTACCAGGCTGTTATTCGGGGGGAATAACAACGGAAGTTTGCTCCTCATTGCCTTCTTCTTCTTCATCTTCATCGTTCGGCTCAAAATTACGTTCGTCCAACACCTCAAGATCCGTTTCGCTGCTCATCCTAAGGTCTCTGACATCATCGTGGCTGGCTCTCAGCTTGACATAGCCGACTCTCGGGTCGGGCTCGCTTAATACTTCATCAATCTTTTTGGTACTATCCATCAAATAATTTTGACACTCCTCAAATAACTTCATCAATGATGGATTATCCTCTTCTTTAAGCGAAGGTTCTGAAAAATAATGTGAGCATCCATATTGGAATCGAGATTCATCGTGCTCATAAGTAGAGTAGACTCATATGATCGTAAATATTGTGGATTTTCATAGAATGAATTTCTACATCTTTCCAACCGTAATGGTCCCTATCAAAATTTGAATACGCTCAATCGTCTCGTCGATACCAATCTCTCTCAGTAGCTCTACGTGCACCATTCCTCTCGGACAAAAACGGACAATCATTGGTGACATGTCTTGTGGTATGACACAGACGACATGGTCTCCTTAAAGGTTGATGAGTACTCTCAATGGCTCCTTAGATCATAGCCAACATCCTAGCCTCACGATGTTGGTCTCTTACCTCCCTCCTTATTTCATAATATGAATCGTAAGCGTAAGCACAATTCGGGCTCCAATATTCATCCATTTATAATGTATACCACATGCAAAAGAAACCAAAAAAATAGGGGGATTAAAAAAAGTAAAAAAAAAAAAGTAAAATAAAATAAAAACTAATCTAATTATCTAATTCAATTAACACTAACAAATCATAACTTAATTGCGCCACTCCTCGACAACAGCTCCAAAATTTGACCGCGCATCGTGACGCGACAAATTTAAGTTTATAAATTATCCTCAACAAACCTCTACTAACTAGTAATAGTGACAAGTAAGGGTCGATCCCACGAAGATCATGAACTAAATTGTGATAATTTTGTATTAACTGAATTAAACTAAGAAAGCAAATAAAGATGGGGGATTGATTTTATAAAAAGAAAAATAAAAATAAACAAAATAAAATAAACATCAAATAAAATAAGAGCAATTCAGTTTTCGGTTTAGTTATCACCAACTATAAATCCACAGTTAATTAATATTGATGCATTCTTTAAATTGCTAAGGAATTACCAACCCTAACTAACAACAAGCTCTGTTAACTGAATTTTCTCTTACCGTTTATTTAATCGAAATAGGCTTTTCGACTAAACCTAACTAGTTGACAACCTAAAATAAACTCTCTAGGTTTAATACATTAGCATCATTAATTACTAGGAAAATAGATTGATCTAAGTAATGAACGCAAAAGCTCATACCATTTAACTTATGTTCACGTTACCCTAGAGATGCAAGACCCCTAGTTTACTATTAACGAAACAAGGACAATAACAATTACGGATTAAAGTCTCGTCTTTAGCAATTAAACTATGAATATTCAACGCAACTGGCCAAACTAAATCAAACATCATAATTCATAAACATTAAACACAGATAACGTGAATCAACCCATCAACAAAATAAAATACGACGCCTTAATTAATCAACGATAAATAAAAATCCTTCAATTTATAGACAAATCAAAGTTAGAGTTCAAATATCCTCTAAACTGGATTAAAATACTAGCCTAACTTACAAATCAAAATAAATAAAAGATAAAAGAGAGAAAATTCTATCTCCCTCGTGTGTGGGTATGGCTTCCCTACGTTTGTGTAGTGTCTTTAACTTTCTCCCGTGTATGATTTCGCAGTCGGTGTTTGTTTTTTTTTTT